TACAGTCACACCGGGCTTTTCCTCCCATAGACTTCTATTCATACGCACGTGAATGCGTCAGACCGGAAACGCAGGGTCATGCGTAAATCACATCACTTGACTGCGTGAGACCAGTCGAGGATTAAAACACGACCTCTCTGGACAGAAATTTAAATGTCTAATAAGCTTGTTTATTCCCGCCCCTTTTCGCTGCACCGTACGACAGAATTTCGCACACACATACTCTAGTGTGACCGCAGCTTAAGTGTGTTGGAGCAGGCTTGGAACTTAACTGTGCAGGGCTGCGGCCCTCTAGGAATTGAGTTGGTGTTGGTCAAACATGCCCTTTTCACAAATAATCAGCAAGCAAACAGTAAACAAGCCTCAAATTTTGTCAACCCTATCATGGAAAAATTCAAAGTAGTTTACGTATATTTTCATTGGTGAGTGATTATAAAATGCATGTTTTCAGAAAAGTAATGTGTCCCAATACCAACCCAACTTTATAAATGATGGGAAAAGTCTATTTATATTAATGAAATAATGGACAAAACATTTTTTTTTTTTTACATTTACATTATTATTATAATTTTTTTTTTTTTCAAAATAAAACTCAAGATCTAAAATATTTTGTCAAACTAACAAACAATATTAACTGACCCCTATTGGTTAATTAAGAAATCACACAATATGCTGAGGTCATACATAGTTTATTTAGTTTATTTTCACAAAAGTTGAACATGATGGTGGAAAACAAGATGACCGGGTGGATATTGGCATGACAGGGTGGACAAAGGCTTTATTTAGTGAACTAAATATGGAGGAACATTTGAAAAACAACAGGTACAACAAGAAATATTAAAGGGTTAATATAAAAAAAGGATGTAAAAGTTTAAGAATTTAACTAAAAGAATTCAACCCTAACTAATGCAAACCGCTGAGTCACCATGCCACCCTTTCTGCTATCAATTAGGATTTATCAATATGCAAATTAATGGGAAAGAAACAATTATTGTCCTTCAAATTGAACTTAATTTGCTATTGAATGTAAATCTTTACATTGTACATTGTATTGGAGGCGTGAAGGGAAGTTTGAGCCAACTCAAGTTAAACACCTTAATAATACTGTTTTGTTCTTCACAATAAGGTAAATAATTAGATTACAGATACAGACGTTCACATAACATGTACAAATACTTAGGGCTGTATTTGTATTTCAAACAGCCAATGAGCTTTATCATATGGACTTTAAAGGGATGTCCTTTATATAGGCTGAGACCGATATTGCCAAAAGGTTTTTTTGTCCACTCGTCTATTGGATCTAGTGATGTAGTATGTGTGTACAAGTGTTGTAACACAAAAACATTAACTTATTAACAATAAAATATTAAATAAATGAATAAAGTTTGAATAACAATGCATATGTCCTGCCTGTCAAGGATGGATTGGTGATGGAGGGAGGAAATTTTTGGCTAAAGATAGCGTTTATTCAACACAGGTTGTGCCTGCAGCTGACAATGCGTTTCCCCATTTAAGCTCTTTGGACACAATTTAAAAGCTATATTTTTGATTTTCTTTTTTACATATTTATATTTCACTGTGACAGGGTGGACATGTTAAGCTTGACAACATTCAGTTTCAAACACACTGAGGAAACGAGTGTAGATACTTTTAACCTCTTCTGAATAAAGGCAAAATGTCTATGGGGATGCCAAGAGGGTTTCTTAAAGGGGCATTTACCACATCATGACAGCATGTCCTTGATGTATTTCAATGGCATGTGCAAAATGATTAATATTATGAAAATAAAAGGTATTAAAATGACTTTGTCAAACAACGTATTAATGACAAGAATATTTGAAATCGTTTTAATTTAATCTAAGACTGTTTAATAAAAGACTATGGCAAAAATTGACAAACATATTTCAAAACACGTATAATTCTATCTGCATGCTGCTAAACAGGGAAGGTTATCTTTTATGGGTTTTGTTCAAAACAAGTCACAGAATCACAGTGAGGAAGCAGGAGAGTGGTGTAAAGGCTGGAAGCGATCTTATCAGCAGCTCACAAGGTAAACATCTGATGTTAGCGTAATAGTATATTCACTTCCCTTATTCAGTTGCTTGGGAATCCGAAGGCACATAGGAGACATCCATGGAGAAAAAGAGGAGAAGAGATCCATCCGACTTCAATATCGGTCGATGAATGGGAGACTTAGATGAGTATATATAGTGTCCTTTGATTGAGGGAACAGGTGCAGTTGATTAGAAGTAGGGGTGTTAAAATTAATTGTTTCTTCAGTGCACCGAGATATAAACGTGGACAATTCGGTATCGGTTCAGTAATAATCATGACCGGATATTATGTACTGAGGGAGGTGATTTACAACTTTCCAGGTGCCAACTACTTAAAAACGCAGAAACTGCACAATTTCACAGAGTGTGTGTGTGTTTTCTGGACAGTCTTTCTCTGACACTTACAGCAGAAGCCCCTACTTCTATGCAATTGAAGGAATGAAAGTGAACATTTCTCTCTCTCTCTCTCTATCTCTCTCTCTCTCACACACACACACACACACACACACACACACACACTGTGGCCCCATTTCAATGGTGTGAATTTTCCTTCCCTCTCTTTTTCTCTCGGCTGTTACAGCAATACTTCTGGATATAGTTTTGCATTGCCGCGGCTGTACCTGTGCATTGTTGCGGGAACCGACCAGATTTCATGCAGCAAGGGAATAAATTTCCGAATAGAGCGCGGGTAACCGGTAACTGGTGTAATTTGAACAGGAGTGGACGGTCTCACAATATCGCTTCCAAGCAAGCAAGTGCGTGTGCGTGCGTGCTTGTGTGTTTATTTGCTGCAGTCTGTTTGTGTTTATGTGTGAATGAGAGACAGCATGATTGTTTGTTTGTTTGTTTGTTTATTCAGACAGCTTGCTATAGTGATTGGAGGAACAGGAACGAGCCGAGGGTGTGACACATGTCTGTAAAGGTTTAACCAATTATATTAAAACATCATAATTTCACTATTTAGCATTATGTTCATATAGGACTGATTCAATCTTATAGGACATCAAAGGCACTTCATAGTCATAATGACCCTATATTGTTTATTAAATTTCCCATTGACTGCATTTTATTAATTTCTACCCCAACCCTAAACCCAACCGTAACAGTACTGTAAAAATATTCATTATTGTTATACAGTATCACAGAAATGATGCTATATAGATGTGCATATCCACAGCTGTATCCTATCCAGACATTTACCAGGTCTGTCTGAGGTATTGGACATGATTAACTTAGCCACACCCCATCCATCTGTCTGTTTTGACAGCGCTATGACAACAAACAGAAGTAGTAAGGAGGAGGTGTCTGTTAGGTTGTAATAATTCTCTTCAAACTCTTTCTGATCTTTATGATTGAAATGCCTACTTTAATACAATCAATCAGCCCACAGTAGAAAAAAAGCCAAACCCCCTGTTTGGTCATTTAATATTCCGTTTCTCATAGAATAAACAATGCAAAAAAAAAAAAAAAAAAAAACTTTTGCAACTTTCAGTTCACGCAGACTTGTGAAATCAATAAATAGTGTTTCTTCCCATACCGATACATTTCTTAAACAATCTGAGACCCACTTATAATCGTATATCAATCAGGCAGTGAAGATCGTTGGTTTTTAAAGAAACAGAGCTTAAACGTGTCGATTTTGTAATGACATACAGTTCACCGGAAGCGCTTGACCCAGGTTACTGCAAAATTAAAACTCCTTCCGCGTACTTCTGCATAAACCCATAGTGAGGAGGAGGTGTCTGTTAGGTTGTAATAACTCTCTTCAAACTTTTTTCCCGATCTTTATGAAGGAAATGCCTACTTTCTTACATTTAATCAACCACACACCCTGTTTTGTTGTTTAATATTCCGTTTCTCTAGGAACTTTGTCACAATACAAAAAAAAAAAAAAAAAAGGCGCAGCTTTTTAGTTCATGTGGACTCGTGAAATCAAAAGTCTGTGTAAATTCAGTTAGTGTTTATTTCGCTAGAACATATTGTTATTCGTTTGGTAGACAATTAATCCATGTACTGTAAGTTAATACACTGAGAAAAAAAAAGTTTGTTTTGGTAATCTTCAATCAAAGTCCCCTGGGGTTTCAGGTGGTGGTCCTTTTGTTGACGTCAGTTTGTCAGCTTCAGCCACAATATTCTTAAATACACCCCTCTTAACTGTTCATTTGCTGCAAGGGAATAATATTAATAAAAAAAGAAAGCCCCATCACCAACTCAATATTTAAAAGTACATCAACATACTGAAATAAAAGTCTCAGCAACTTCCCTTCTCACACTAATGTGTATAAAATCATATAATATTCTTGCAGAGTACAACCTAACAGGGGCGTCGCAGTGGCACAGTGGGTAGCACAATCGCCTTGCAGCAACAAGGTCACTAGTTTGACCCTCAACTGGTTCAGTTGACATTTCTGTGTGGAGTTTGCATGTTCTCCCCGTGTTTGTGTGGGTTTCCTCCGGGTGCTCCGGTTTCCCCCCACAAGTCCAAAGACATGCGGTATAGGTGTATTGGGTAAGCTAAATTGAGCGTAGTGTATGTGTGTTAATGAGTCTGTGTGGATGTTTCCCAGTGATGGGTTGCAGCTGGAAGGGCATCCGCTGTGTAAAACATATGCTGGATAAGTTGGGGGTTCATTCCGCTGTGGCGACCCCAGATTAATAAAGGGACTAAGCCGGAAAAAAAATGAATGAAGTTGGTGGTTCATTCCGCTGTGGCAACCCTAGATAAATAAACGGACTAAGCCGAAAAGAAAATGAATAAAGTTGGTGGTTCATTCCCCTGTGGTAACCCTAGATAAATAAAGGGACTAAGCCGAAAAGAAAATGAATGAAGTTGGTGGTTCATTCCGCTGTGGCAACCCTATATAAATAAAGAGACTAAGCAGAAAAGAAAATGAATGAATGAGTACAACCTAATAGTACGCTAGATTCCTTCAAACGCATTTGTCATATAGTGGAAAACTTTTTATTTTAGTTTCTGGACTAACTTAGCATTTTAATCAGTCACTTTCGAGAGCCGGGACAATCCTGTGTAAATTTATACTGTTGTCAGCAACACTAAAACCTTGTAAACGGTTTCAGGAAAAGCTATGAAGAGTTACCTGGCTTTTCAATAATATGTAGCCAAGGCAGTGTGAGATTGGCTTTGCTAATCTCTACCACATTCCTCTGGGTGGGGGTTTATTGTGTGTGTGTGTGGGAGAGAGAGGGATGGAGACTGAATGACTATTGTGCACTATGAACCTGTGAATGTCTCTATTTAACAGGACTCCGACTGTTTCTGTTCTCACAAGGAGCGCTGAAGAAATATGAGTTTGACCAGAGTCACCAACATCGACGCGGTGGAGCTGCAAGAAGGCATCCAGAACGCGGCCTTTCGGGAGGATGATGATGATAATAATGGTGATATTGTGTGTATTCGGCGGGTCTCCAGCCTGCCAGAGGAGAGTGAATACACGCAGATCAAGCCGTATGCTGGGATGCCTAAAGAGGTGCTGATGTTGTACTCTAACAAGCCCTGTTATCGGATCCCTCGAGAAGTGATCTTCTGGCTGGTCATCGCCTGCACTCTGGCTCTTATTGCGATGACTGCGGCTATTGTGGCGCTGTCGCCTCGATGCATGAGCTGGTGGCAGCTGTCGCCCATCTATCAGGTTTACCCACGCTCATTTAAAGACTCCAATGCTGATGGGGTTGGGGATCTAAGAGGTATGTTTGGTTATGGAGAGACTCCAAAAAGCTTTTTAATGAAGTGTTATTTTTCATATGCCATTTGCTTATTTTACATGTCTATTTTGCTTTTATTTACTTAAATTTTAGTTCCTGGAGTTTCAGTCACTATTAGGCATGGGCCTGTATAAGATTCTGATGGTATGATTACCTTGGATAAAAGTATCATAGTTTCAAGGTATCACAGTATTGTGATTAATGCTCCAAATTAAGTTCTTTTTAAATGTCTGGGTAAAAAAAACAACTACTTTTTACACATTGAACATAATATATTTCATATTAAGAAACATTTAAAATATTTTAGACCAGTAACTTTTGCTGTTGCCCTAAAAAACTAAATAAAATAGTTAAAGACAATAGTGAAAGACAAGTAAAAAACAATCAAACAAAAAAATGAATCTTACACACAACTTTGACTTTTCCAAACTGCAGTAAACCTTGGAACCGGTTATTGTCCTATTCCCAGTCATTATACGTATTTTGCCAAAGCAGCATTTCTGTTTCAATATGCATATTTTTAGAAATTTAACAAGAATTGCAATGATTGTTACTTTATTATAATAATAATAATAATAATAATAATAATAATTATTATTATTATTATTATTATTATTATTATTATTATTATTATTATTATTATTATGTACTGGGTATTACCAGATGCCTCCAAAACGTGCAAATTGGCAACTAATTATGTGGTATACTAAATTGCAGTTTGGTGCCTAGTCAAAAGTTCAAGTTTTTAAATTAATTTAAAAATTGTTTTCTTTTTTAAATATTTCCTAAATGACGTTTAACAGAGAAAGGAAATTTTCACAGTATGTCCGACAATATTTTTTCTTCTGGAGAAAGTCTTATTTGTTTTATTTCGGCTAGTTTAAAAGCAGTTTTAAATTTTTTAAACACCATTTTAATGACAAAATTATTAGTTCCTTTAAGTTATATATTTTTCTATAGCCTACAGAAGAAACTATCATTATGTAATAACTTGCCTAATTACCCTAACCTGCCTAGTTAACCTAATTAACCTAGTTAAGCCTTTAAATGTCTCTTTAAGCTGTATAGAAGTGTCTTGAAAAATATCTAGTCAAATATTATTTACTGTCATCATGGCAAAGATAAAATAAATCAGTTATTAGAAATGAGTTATTAAAACTATTATGTTAATAAATGTGTTGAAGAAATCTGCTCTCCGTTAAACAGAAGTTGTGGAAAAAAAATAAACAGGGGGGCTAATAATTCAGGGGGCTAATAACTCTGACTTCAACATTATATAGACAGATAGATAGATAGATAGATAGATAGATAGATAGATAGATAGATAGATAGATAGATAGATAGATAGATAGATAGATAGATAGATAGATAGATAGATGGATGGATGGATGGATGGATGGATGGATGGATGGATGGATGGATGGATGGATGGATGGATGGATGGATGGATGGATGGATGGATGGATGGATGGATGGATGGATGGATGGATGGATGGATGGATGGATAAGGCTTGGATTAATTTTTGGTATGTATTTTGTAATAAATCTAGCTCCTAAACTCCATGATGTCATTAACTTCCGCATTCTTTAAATTTTAAAGATCCGTACTGGCCCAAATACCCCCATACGTGGTTCTGTTTTCTCATCAGTTGAAATAGAATAACCTTTTTCTATAGATTATGATAGAGACAGTTTTTTCTTTTTTCCTATGATTACTAACGTGCAAAAAAAAATTTAAAATTTTTTTTGGAGGAGTTTAAAAGTGTCCTTGTTTAATATAATTTTATAATGAGGAAATTTGTCCCTTGTCTTGCATAATATAATTGAGAAACTTGATGTATGGTTTGAGTTGTTTTATTGGTTTTATTTTGAACCTATACATAGTGTGCAGACAGTTTTTGCTATTTCTGCAGACAATTTTGTAAAAAATCTGCAGATTTATGTAGAATCATTTTAGGAGTATCAAAACTAAAACCTTAATATATGAAATAAATAGTAATATCATTTAACTTTAATTTAATGTTCACAATGCGAATCCAATTAGATCCACTCGGTAAACAAAGCAAGTCTCTCATACAATATTTCTACTAAAAACAGAAAATATTACTTTGCAAACTGTATTGTAAATAAATCATACGAACATTTTCATATTACTATTATTATATCACAATAATATTACTGAAATTTATTTCAAAACTGAATAAATATAAATTTACAAACATGTACACAAGTAAATGTATAGATTTCTGCATGCTAAGATTCCATGTCGGCCTACACACAGTGTACATAATATGAATGCTAGTTCTATATTTACAATTCTTTTCCTCATGTAAATACTAGCAACTATACTAACTGGCTAATTGACTTGTTACTAAACCGATGTAGTAACCTGATATGAATAATTACTTTCCTAGGTAGGTGGATACTGTAAAATGAAGTGAATTCGTGTAATAATAATAATAATAATAATAATAATAATAATAATAATAATAATAATAATAATACTTTCTGTTGTTTTAAGATTATTTATTAGAAAATGAGCCTAAATCCAAAACAACAAGGTCTAAAGTCTTGCTTAAAAAACTGAGCTAAGTTGTAGTGATATTTCAGAAGTGAGGGTATTGATGGCTTGGACAGACAAACAAAGGCCACGTTTTCCCCTCATAATGGCTCTATGCCGCTGTATATTTATTTTCATGCAAGTGGAGGAGGTTGTTTAATTGCTCTTATATAATGGCTGAAATTGGGTCTACACATGCCATGATGAGGTTTTACTGTAGCACATTACAGGGCTGTTAGTGTTTTACTTTAAAACATGTTCATCACAAAGCAAACACTGTGGATAGGTCGAAAACACGCTTATCTTCTACATGCAGTATAATAAAATGATCACATATAGATGTCAAAAGATTGGGATGATAAAGGTTGGGTTGGTCAAGGTAATATCAGTGTGGATTGTTGAGCGTCAGATCAAAGGTGCGCAAATGTGTAGCTGATGTTTTAATAATTCGATGTTCTTCAGGAATTAAGGAGAAACTGAGTCATTTCGAGTACCTGAACATTAAGGCGATCTGGATCAGTCCTTTCTACAAGTCTCCTATGAGGGACTTTGGATACGATGTGGAGGATTTCAGAGACGTTGACCCTCTTTTTGGAACAATGGAAGACTTTGATGACCTCTTGACTAGCATGCATGATAAAGGTGAATGTGCATTAATGTAAATAATGATAAATACCTATATTTCCATCCAAAGATGTGCAAAACTGGAATATTGCATAAAGCGTTTGTGAATAAAGCACTGTTTCCATCCAATGAGTCAAAGAGAACAAAATGATAACTTCCTGATTAAGTTTCTCCAAGTATCAAAATAGTTTTAGTTTAAACTTTATTGTCCGTCCTGCTTGACAGAAAGGAAATCTGTCTTTAAAACTGGATTAAAGGCAACAATTACAAACATACAACAACCACACATTAACAACACTCATCAAGACAACAACATAAGTTAAAAGTATAAAAACCAAATTAGCCCCATACAAACTACTGCAGATCATTCTCTGCAACCACCACATTCACTTCAAACAATGATCCGATTTAAAACACTGCCATTGGGATGCCTTTTTATAAGCATGACTTTTTCTAAGCATTTCTTCGTGCTTTAGGAATTCTAAACCTGCGTCCTGAGGGTAACAATTCAAATGCTGAGTGAAGGGGATGTGTAGTATCTTTAAAAATCACAACTGCTGTTTTTTCCGTAAAGGAGTCAAACAAAATCTGCAATGAATGTTGTTTGTGACCAGTTATCTTATTTGCCTGATTGATAATTTGCAATAATTTTTTCTTCCGTTTAAGTGTTGTAAAGATAAATATTTTACATTTAGTCATTTAGCAGACGCTTTTATCTAAAGCGACTTACAAATGAGGACAAGGAAGCAATTTACACAACTATAAGAGCAACAATGAATAAGTGCTGTAGGCAAGCTTCAGGTATGTAAAGTGTAAGAAGCAAAACCATTAGTAATTTTTTTTTTGTTTTGTAGTACAGTTAGCGGTGGAGCCAGAGAGGGAATTGCAGATTAGGAAGGGAAGTAGAGACTAAATAGTTGAGTTTTTAGTCGTTTCTTGAAGACAGCAAGTGACTCTGCCATTCCGATGCAGTTAGGGAGTTCATTCCACCAACTGGGCAAATTGAATGCGAGAGTTCGGGAAAGTGATTTCTTCCCTCTTTGGGATGGAACCACGAGGCGACGTTTATTCACAGAACTAAAGTTTCTGGAGGGCACATAGATCTGCAGAAGTGAGAGCAGATAAGGAGCAAAGCCAGAAGTCGCTATGTAAGCAAACGTCAGAGCTTTGAATTTGATGCGAGCAGCAACTGGCAGCCAGTGCAAACGGATGAGTAGCGGAGTGTTTTTATTTGTGTTGTAAAAATAAAGATTTTATTTGCTGAATAGTAGGGGGTGTAACGGATTGAGTATAAGTGCACAATTAAAATATCAGGATCTCAATTCAAACACCCACGCAACATAAATTATAAATAATCTGCATATGTCTATTAGTCCTTCCATGTGCTGCGTTCAAATCTGCATTTGATCGAGAGAGATTTAATTTGTACACTTTTCAGGTAGTTACAAAGTTACAAACAATCAAATAACACAGAGGTACGGGGATAACAGTTTATTAATAAAACATAACACAGATAAAAGATTAAAATTAAAGCTAAAGATTCAAATCCCAGTTTAATGCAACTTGACGCTGTTGAAAGTTGTGGCAATTACATTGTTTATCCAATAGGTGGCGACAAACAACTATCAAAAAATTGTCACTGATTTTTTTTCCTCTGCCCATAATTATATTAGAGCTTTGTTTCTTCCGATGTCCATATTAAACCCCTTTCCACTAATCTTGGAATTGTCTTTCGAGACGCATCAACCAAATTATACATTTTAAACAGAACCGTACCAGAGTTCGCACAAACCGTACCTACCCCAGACCATCTCTTTCAGGGGGACTCCTGTACGGTTCACGGTTCATGGGTGCACACCCAAGCTCAGAAGACACGTTCACACTAGCTAAACGTACTGTATATGACGTCAAACGAACTCGGGTGCGAACAAAAAGTGCTAATGTTAATGCTAATGTTAAGTCATGTTTACCTTTTTTTATTCAGCTGGTTATTTCTTTAATTTTATTTTTAGTAAAGTGACAGATTTTAAGTTCTGTTTGTTAAAACCAAAAGTTTCTTGCATTACTGTTTTTGTAATAAATTACATCTGTCTCCTTTTTTTTTTTTTTTTTTTGCTGATCCAAAAAAGGATCCGATCCGTGACTCAAAAAACAGTGTGATCCGATCTATGAGATTTGGGATCTGTTACACCACTACTAGACAGAAGAAGCCACTGTGGGAATTTTTTTTCTATATAATCCGCTTGTTAAGTGTGACGTCACGCGAAGCGGCTTCCAGGGCTAAGCGCTCGACTAATGAAATGGTAATAGTAATGAAATGGCCAGAAAGTGACAAATTTTATTTATAAATTGTTAAATTTTTGGTATTTGTTATGCAGTAAGCCCAGAGATTGTTGTGTACATTACGATTTTATTTATTTTAAAATTAAGTTTAATGTGTATTAGGAATAAAACGTTATCATAAACGAATGATTTCTCCACTCAAATGAATGGCGGCTTGGACCCGGAAACAGATTACATACGTCACAAACACGTCACCACTTAACAAGCGGATAAACTACTTGCGGCTCAGATGAAGGCGGCGAAATCTATTGAATGCACTGAGGGTTTTGAAGTGTCGAGACTACTCTTTGGGAGAGTTCTGGGGAGTTATTATACCAAACCACTTTGACATAGTACTTTGGCTAAGGGATTTTACAATGACCAAATCAGCATTTGACCAGTCTGGTGGTTTGTCCATTATTGGCATCTTGTCCTGCCAATATTTGTTAATTCATAATCTGAAAACGAAGTCACAGGACTTCTGATGCGCATGCTGGAGTTTAATCTGTAAATGTGTTTCCATCTTAGTAGATCAGTGGTTGTACGCCTGCTTTTTTTGAGAGGGGTCTGGATGCAGACTTGATGCAAGTCAATCTGACCTGCGTCCAGTGCTTTTTAATATGCTCATCTAACCCCACCCTTCACAGTGATGTCACTAGCTCCACTGAGTGCATTATTTCGGACATTGCATCACTGAGATTTGCAGTCTCAGCTTGCATCATCAAGGTTGCATACAGATAATATTGTTTTTTTTTTTTGCGGATTATCAAAATGCATGTGCATCTTGGCATTTCCATCAAGCATTTATTATGCGCCATTCCAAAATCTGCATGAACAGATTTTCAATCAACTGTTTTGCCAACCAGTAACTAACAACAAACTTCTCCAGTCATCATTTGTTTGCTGTGTTATGGCTATAGTTTGAATTTTAGCATGTTATGAGCTTCACGAATAGCATGATTGTTACTCATTAACGTTCCAAGCTTATTACAGTGTTATAAACCTGTTATTGTAATGTCATGACACTATAAAACACTCTGCTTGATATGCTCTGCTTTTTTGACTCAGGTTTGAAGCTGATCATGGACTACATCCCGAATCACACCAGTGACAAACACGTCTGGTTTCAGCTTAGCCGTAATTACACAGAGCCCTACACAGACTATTACATCTGGGTTAACTGCACAGCAGATAAACATCCAAACAACTGGGTATGAATGTCCATTCACACACTGCAAACAAATCAGTGAATAGTGACACGTTCTGTACTGTTATCTACATGCATATTGAATTCTATACAGGGTATCTGCAGATTTCTAAGAGTTATATTTAGGATTTTTAAAGATATTTTTATACCAGACTAGGGTACTTTTCCTTAAACAATGACGTAACTCGCAGCTGAACTGTCATAATACGATGCATCAATTGGGGAAAAAAAACGATGTAGTGACGAGTGTTTCCCAAACCCCTAGTTTCTCTGTCGCAGATCCGTCGCTTGAACCACATTAGTTATGACATAAAACATTCATAATGATGCTCCAAATGAGGTGGAGTAATAACTTCTTTAGAGAAGAACCTCATCATTTATTTGTGCAAATTATATTGTTTTACACGTACACAAAAATCTAAATAAGTTTTGGTAAAAACATGCACTCGCTTTCCTTATTAATTGAATGTAAATGGCAGATGTAGGGCCTAAGATTCTTTCACAAATATTATTGAGAACATGACATATTCTATTTTAAAACATAAAATCACTTATTCTACACGTATTCTAATATCAAATATGAATCGTATAACTAAATAAATAATGAGGCTATTTGTTAAAGAAGTTAAATTTAATATTTATTATTTATTAGGAAATGAAGAAAATCCTAGTTTAATATTGATAATAAAAATATTAATAATGAGGATGATGATTATTATATAGTAGGAAATTGTTTAAAGTCTACTTTCACAATTTGCCACTGTAGAAATGTTCTAATCAACAGGTCATATACAGTACAGATACTTAATAAATAACCTACTATAAATGAAAAGCATTAGCATCTGCTATGTTTTTTGTTTTCACAAGCTATGGAGATGTAACATAAATTCAGCTTTTAAATAATAGGTCACCTATAATTCATTCGTCATTAGCCATTGCTATGTTCAAAATGACATCAACGTATTCAAAGTGCATTGCGAAGGGAGCGCAATTGTAAACATGACGATCACTAAATCTGAACTGTACAAATACTTTGTAAGCAAATTACACTTATAAGAGATGACCTTAATTCATTTATTTTCTAGTTGGCATAGTCCCTTTATTATTCCGGGGTCACCACAGCGGAGTGAACCGCCAACTTATCCAGCACATTTTTACGCAGCGGATGCCCTTCTATCCACAACCCATCTCTGGGAAACATCCACACACACACTTATTCACACACACTCTCATACACTACAGACAATTTAGCCTACTCAATTCAACAGTACCACATGTCTTTGGACTGTGGGGGAAACCGGAGCACCCGGAGGAAACCTACGCGAACGCAGGGAGAACATGCAAACTCCACACAAAAAGCCAAATGAGCAGAGGCTCGAACCAGCGACCTAGCGACCTTCTTGCTGTGAGGAGACAGCACCACCTACTGCGCCACTGCTTTGCCGTAGATGACCTTAATGTTTTTTTTTTTTATATAATTTCAAGTTTGAATGTTGGAGTGTTCAAAACGAATAGGGCATAGTGGGGATAACTAGGAATAGAACACAGCCAGTTTCTAACTACAGCTCCAGGGATGTAGTTGTAAGCGTACAAGTTTGCGATGCAGTTTGCGAATGTTCGTTGGAACGATGGATTTGGGAAATGCCAAATCAACAAACGATGTTTGTAGCGACAGAATTTGCGACGCTAGTTGGCTAACAATGGTTTTCGGAAACGCACCCCAGAATGAGATTTAAGACTAATTAAGACCTTATTTTTATACTAAGGAATGTAAGACTTAAGGATTCTCGTACATCCTGTTATGGTTCACCATCAGTGCCATTTCAAAATGTTTGTCCACCAAGTTAATAAATGATCCGACACTCTATGTTCTGCACATTTTGTTACAGTCATTAAGTTCATTAAACTGATTACCAACATGCAACGAATAGCTTTTAGTTGACAAGTCTCATATTGTTTGATTTGTCAGGTGAGTGTTTTCGGGAATTCCACGTGGGAGTATGATGAAATACGGCAGCAGTGCTATTTCCATCAGTTCCTCAAGGAACAGCCAGATCTGAACTATCGTAACCCCCTGGTCCTACAGGAGATGACGGTAAGACTTGGCTAAAGAAAGTGTGCGAGCAACATTATGACTATTAACCATGTCTTTTGGGGTTAAAAATATCAGGTGCCAGAGTGTTGTTTGGTGTTTAGTCAATCATTGAACACTTAGAGCACTGGTAATTCTGTGGTTGATGTGCGAGACCAACCTACTCTGAAGTAGTAGATCATTTTGTTCTTTCAAAATAATTCCCAGTTCCTATGGTGTGATCACGTCAGAAGCAGGTAATTCTATCAGTATAGGAACTATGAAATTGATCCTATTATAGAGACTTTTATACTGTTCTTACATTAATACAGTATGACGGATAAAAAGAATTGGTTTTCATAAAAACAAGATGTTACCTGGAGCACTGAAGATGAACGTGACTACACTCGTAAAAATAAAGGTTCCAAAAGGGTGGGTTTTGCAATGATGCCACAGAAGAACGATTTTAGATTCCACCAAGAAAGTTAATCTTTCCTGAAATGACACGTTGTATCCAAAATGTCACGTTGTCAAGAAGTATAAAAAGTAGATAACAGAGTAGATAAGTCACTTATAAACCAAGCAACGCTGAGAGAGATCTGAGTTGGGAAATTTGTCACATTCAATCTCCCAATTGATCAAAAATTCCTATTAAAATGACACACTAAAGTTTATATTGAAATCTAATGTGTACAAACCTGTACTTTTGGAGCCACATTTTCAACAAGGAACTTTTCGGCCCTGTTTACCCTTTGTATTAAAATGTATTTTGTCAATCTGATCAGAACTGAACTTGACCACTTGCAGAGGCAGTTTAAAATGGATGGTGGTATAACTGCTCAGGTGGTTGAAGGTGTTTAAACAGCCACAAAATGGCTGACCTTGTTTCTGAATGTGCATTTTGTCCAAGAGGGCTTTAGACCACATGGAAATGAAGTCATCACCAATATAAATACTACATAATTTATAGAAAAACTATTATATAAAGAGATCTACTAAGTTTTTGACTGGGTAAAACATTTTCATTTGTTGAATCCTTTTTTTTTCAATGTTGAAATCCTTTGTTAGTGAAAAAACAAAGCAAAAAACAAATATAGATGAGATGCAATACCATCTGCTTTTACAAGTTCAGTGTGTAAAAACATATGCTGGATAAGTTGGCGGTTGATTCCGCTGTGGCGGCCCCAGATTAATAAAGGGACTAACCCGAAAAGAAAAAGAATGAATGAATTTAAATAAACAATTGCAACAGCAAAATTATATTGGGGTGGCCACAGGGGTGACAGGAGTTTAGATAAGGAGCCACCTCTTGGGGGCGTCCCTAGCCCTGCCTTCCTATGAAAGAACTCATATCAGCCACCTTTTCAATTCAATTCAATTAATCTTTACTTCTATAGCAGTTTTACAATGTAGATTGTGTCAAAGCAGCTTAACAGAGAAATTCTAGTAAATGTAAACTGTGTCAATCCAGTTTTCAGAGTTAAAGTTTAGTTCAGTTTGATTTAGATTTCACTGCTAAAATTCCCAACACTGAAGAGCAAATGTATCGATGCGTATTCGAGATGCGTATCCAGTTGTATCCGAGATCTTGTTCTTTTGGTCTTGACACAAAGCACATGACTATAGTCGAGAGCCCTAAAATATGAGCTAAAAAGGCTATGTTGCGTCGCAGTTACCAGCACTGCTCAGTGTGCTAGTTTTACTCTCCATGCAGCCATAGTCATTGCACAATGTGAAGTGGCTTTCATACCAGACATGTAAAGCTCTGCGCTATGAAACCCATTCATTTAATAGAAACATTCAATGGCTGATTTGTTGTGGCACTGATCAAAACACGAGAGCAGCAGAGCATGAACACTGCGATCAAAGTTCAGAGTAGCTCCATATTCTATGCTGGCTGTGTCCAAAACCGCCTACTACTCAGAATGTACCGCATTTGAATTTAAACGCACTACTCGGCCATTAGACAAGTACGTTCTATATAGTGTGAATGTGATCAGGATGAATGGAATTCGGACACACTACATCTGCTATTTTGTCATGGTCACATGATCTACCTGCGTCAGTTGCATCTCTTCTCTCCCACTCATGAATTCTCTCGTGGGGCATCATGGGATAGCGAAGCGTGCATGGGATGCGCACTTCAGAATCTCACCGGAAGTAGCAGGTCATCCAGGTACTTCTCACATACTGATTTTCAAATTCTATGAATTCGGACATACTACTCGGTTCGCATACTGATTTAAGCGTACTGTATAGTGTGGAAGTATGCAGTTTCAGATGCAGCCTCTGTGTTTGTTCCGTTCATAAACCCATACACTTCTCTATGCATGAACCACACACGGTCCAGAAAAGCAAAGTAACGTGTTGCCACTGACAGGATATCTTTTGTTTCTGAATGTGTTTGTGAAAATGACACCTCTTGACTCGTTCACTGTTAATAAAATGTGATTATGTTATTGGCTTGTGGTTTTTTAAATTAGTATAATTTAAGTCTTGCAAAAATATATTATTGAATAAAATAATGAATAATTATTACAAAGCATTTTTGTTTAGGTTTTCGGTCAAATGCATGCAGAATATTCTATTTCTGCCCAAAATTTCTGTGCCTCCCTAAAACTTCTTAATCTTAATTCTAGGTGTAAACTCCTGCCAGATTGATGTTCAATCTTTTAAATAACATGTAGCAGGAATATTAGCCTTGAAGCTCCTTAACAAAAAGGCCCTTCATGCAGATCTGCGATTCACCATAGCATATCGTGTTTCACCACAAACAGGGACCTCTTTGATCTTTGCTTCATGTCTGTGTAACAGGACATAATCCACTTCTGGCTGAAGAAAGGGGTGGACGGGTTTCGCATGGATGCTGTGAAGCACATGCTGGAGGCAACACATTTACGAGATGAACCTCAGGTTAACCCTGACCAAGATCCAGTAAGACAAACTATCATATTTCCTCATAAAAACACAGCATTTACACACTGACATACTGAAACACCTGATTGACAAAAGCATTTTTGAACTCATTGTTTTTCATTGTTCTCACTGTGCCATTTAGGGATTACTAGTGCATATTTCTCTGGATTTACTGGCAAGTCATTACGATTACCCTAATTCTAGATGATTTCAAAGTCAGTGTAGATTTAGCGAAGGCAGTTGAAAGACTCTGTGGTCTTTAGGCCATTAGGTTCTTTATTGACAGTCTCATATTGTCTTTTTGTGCTTGTTAGCACTAACTAACCTAAGAATTTTATAGAATAATAATAATATTAATATATTTTATTTAAAGATGCCTTTCTTGCAATAAAACAACAAGAAAAATATTATATAAGTGTTAGCAACAGGCGAGGCAGTGGTGCAGTAGGTGGTGCTGTCTCCTCACAGCAAGAAGGTCGCTGGGTCGCTGGTTTGAACCTCAGCTCAGTTGGCGTTTCTGTGTGGAGTTTGCATGTTCTCCCTGCCTTCGCGTGGGTTTCCTCCGGGTGCTCCGGTTACCCCCAAAGACATGTGGTACAGGTGAATTGGGTAGGCTAAATTGTCTGTAGTGAATGTGTGTGTGGATGTTTCCCAGAGATGGGTTGCGGCTGGAGGGGCATCCGCTGCGTAAAAACTTGCTGGATAAGTTGGTGGTTCATTCCGCTGTGGCGACCCCGGATTAATAAAGGCACTAAGCCGACATGAAAATGAATGAATAATATTAGCAACAACAGTTCAGATACAATTAGGTTTTAAAAAAACCCTATATGCATTAATAAGGTCATAATTTGGTTTTGGGGGTCTCCAACAACAGTCTAATATGCATGCAAGGTCAAAAAACACTTTCATTGTCTTATAATATGCATTTATTTTTACCTAATTATCCCAACGACTCTCATATAATTTTTTCAGCGATTCATTTGTTCCCAAATCCCTCCTTAGCACGATGCTAATCTGCTAATGTGTTCAGCGCGAGACGGAGAGAAATGCTCACCACGACTTATCAACAATTTTGAAGTAGTCAGAGTGCAGAGTATATGTGTGAGCATACCTGCCAACACTCCCGTTTTCCCGGGAGTCTCACGTATTTCAGACCCATCTCCCGCCACCCTCCCGTTTTGCTATTTCTCCTGAAAACTTCCTTAATTTTAACTGTAATTTGAACTGTGTACTGTAAAGTTCCTGTCAAGCTCTGACAAAGTCCCATACATCAATAGTCTTTTCTGATCATTCCATTAACAAACGGCTGATGAATCCACATCTAAGTGTGTAGATTTCAGAAGCACTTGTCAAAAAGATGACAGGAACACAGCACAAGGCTAGGGCTATAATGCTGAGGTATTTTTACAAAAATAAACTTCAACCACTGACTCTTCACAGCCTCATCAGGGAAAATAACACTAACTTTCCCTCACACTTCAGAGCAGTGTCAATACGACATAGTTCCACCGGGATCTACAACAGTGTTTGTCTTCCTTTTTTTCTTTCTACAGTGAATGGGCAGGGTTTAAGTTTCGTATAGACATCAAGCCGGCACGGCTAAAGACTTGTGCCGATTCATTCGAACCACTATATATTAAAGATGAATCTATAGTTTTAAAAACTGTCCACTTTCAGATTTAAGCCATAGCTGGATATTTCGTTTCACTCAGAGCTGTTACACACTGCATGGAAGGTCATTTGTTAAAAAATAAAAAAAAAAACATAATAGGGCCTTTTTAAAAGCCATCTTAAATAAGTGAGTTTTGAATCTTGTTTTGAATAAGTTATGAGAGTCAATGTTTCTGATGGCAAAGTAACTTCCAAAGCCGGGGGGCAGGACTAACACAAGTTGAATTTTCTCATTCAATTTTATTACGATTACCATTAAAAACTGGTTTCAACGAATTTTTTCCCCTCATTTTGTTAGAATGCCATGAAATATTTATTAAATTAATACACCAGAGGAAGTGTCTGAGGCAAAAGCAGTTAGTGAGTGGTCTTTAAAAATGCGTACTTACTGTTGTTAGTAGATGGACATAATGCATTCAATTCTGTTATATTTTTCTTTATTTGTAATCTTATTCACTTTGTTTTAAATTGTTCTAAGTTGTAAGACTTTTCTTAAGAAAAGTTTAAATAGACTGCTGTTCATGAATGCTGTTCACAACAACTGTGTAAAAGGGATAAATATTTGTAAAAAAATAATGGTTTGTTAAAAACACCGAGTTTTTCTTTGTACATTGCTGGCTTCAAAATGATCTGAACATGAAAAATATTTGTAAAAAAAAATACTATATTTCTTAAACAGAAATAAAGTAAATGTATTTTGAATGTCTTCAATCTCTCTCAAAGTTTCCTTCCATTTTTTTTAGCATCTAATAAAATGCTGTTTTTAGTTTTTTTTTTATTTATATATTCCAAATGCTCGATCACTTTTAAAAAGAAAACATTAAAAACACATCTTTTGAAAATGATATCTAACTTATTTCTTAAAGGGCACCTAGGTTAGGGCTCTTGTTGTTATGATTATACACGTGACTACCGGGACATGTTAATACGCGTCAATCAAACTGTCAATCAATTCAGTGGGTGGGGGGCGACCGCACTCCTACATCAGGCTGAGGTTGGTCTAAAAACTGCTCCAATTAGTCCACCGTTTTTATGTCGTTTGAAAAAAAAAAGGACTGGGTGTGTTTATATCACCCCAATATGACGGTCTATACACTATACCTACACATATGTCTGTCCAAACAGCTTGAAAAGTAAATTTTTAATCATAGGTGCCCTTTAATAAAATTAAAGTAGTGATCCTTTAGTGTGTGCAGCGTGACTAATGTAATACATTCCTTCTCTGTTCAGTCGACAGTGGACACAGAGTTTGAGCTGTATCATGACTACACATACACACAAGCAGGACTCCATGAGATCCTGACAGACTGGAGGATACAGATGGACACATACAGCCGAGAGCCTGGCCGATACAGGTCTCCTCACTTCACCTATACTTCTACACTTAACGTCTCTGTGCTTCAGTCTTAATAATAACTCCCTTGTGTTTTTACCACTCAGGTTTATGGTGATGGAAAGTTACGACTATGAAGAAATCGATAAAACCATGAGGTACTACGGCACAAACTACGCCAAGGAAAGCGACTTCCCGTTTAACTTCTATCTACTGGACCTTCCTGATAACCTGTCTGGAAATTATGCCAAAAGCATAGTTGAACGGTGGATGTCGAACATGCCAAAAGGAAAATGGCCAAACTGGGTGGTAAGTGACCAGATGCTTGTTTGTTTATTAAGAATCACATTATTTTACATTAAAAGCTTCAGTGGGTAAAATTTACCCATGCATGTGGCTGTTTTAATATAGTTAAAAATGTACGATGTCACTGTATTATCTTCACAAAGTTATGTCTAGAGTTATTTATTTTAGTCATCAACTAAATTGTTAAGCCAACTGAAGAAACAACATTCACCCCTGAAATCAATCATCCACCTCAGGGCTCGCGAAATTACTAGCCCATCGAATTTGATTAAGAAGTATGTTGTGTGTTTAACATACACTACCTGACAAAAGGCAACAAATAATAACTTGACTTCTAGTTGATCATTTGGAAAAGTGGCAAAAGGTAGATTTTTTCCCGATCGTCTGTTGAACTGCATCACAATCATCGCAAATACTGCAGAAGACCTGTCGGAGCCCGCATGGACCCAAGATTCTCAGAGAAATCAGTCAAGTTTGGTGAAGGAAAAATCATGGTTTGGGGTTACATTCAGTATGGGGCATATAATAGATCAGCAGAGTAGATGACACTAAGGGCCTACTCACACTATGCCATCCGTACCGTGCCCAGGCCCGTTTCATAGATCGTTTGAGAAGTGTGAGTGCGTTAAATCGGGCTCAGGCACGGTTCACTTGACCGGCCCTGGCCCGTTTGGAAGAGGTGTCCCTGAGCGCAGTTCACTTTGGCTTTGGCACGGTACGCTTGTGTGTGAGTGCGAAACGTGCCAAAGCCCGAAACTGAAAGCAAGACGTGACTTTGAGGGACTGTTTCATATGGATTTATTAATCATTCTTACTGTTCTGTGAACGCAAACTGCCGTAGTTTATTAACGAGAACTCCTTACAGCACGACAGCTGCGCGGCTTAAGCAGACCTCCTCATTCCTGCAGCACGAGGGCTTTATGATTGTTTTTGAGCGCCAAAAGTGGCGGATCTGTTCGGCGAAATATCTGACTGCGTCACCGCATCCCTAAGGACTGTTTATATGCAAAATATTTGACTGCATGTCACTGCAAAACAAACGACTGAAACGATATAACTAGAGAAATCTCCACTGTGCTGCTGAGTGAGAGAGCGCTTCTCACTGAACAGCGGAGCAGCGATGACGTAAGCGTATCAAGGCCCATTTGTGGTGTGAGCGCGGGGGGAGACGGGTGGGGGGACAAGCGTGCTTTGGCCCAGTTCAAGGCAACTGTACCTAGTGTGAGTACGGCCTTAGTACAGCCGAATAATTTTTAACAGAGCAAGGAAATTTTCATAGTATGTCTGATAATATTTTTTCTTCTGGAAAAAGTCTTATTTGTTTAATTTCGGCAAGAATAACAGCAATTAAAAAAAATTTTAAAGCCATTTTTGGGACAAAATTATTAGCCTCTTTAAGCTATTTTTTTCCCCATAGTGTACAGAACAAACCATTGTTTTACAATAACTTGCCTAATTACCCTAACCTGCCTAGTTAACCTAATTAACCCTGTTGTAAGCCTTTAAATGTCATTTTAAGCTGTATAGAAGTCTTGAAAAATATCTAGTAAAATATTATTTACTGTCATTATGGCAAAGATAAAATAAATCAGTTTTTAGAAAAAGAGTTTTTAAAACTATTATGCTTAGAAATGTGCTGAAACAATCTTCCCTCCCTTTTGGGGAAAAAAATAAACAGGGGCGCTAAAAATACAGGGGGCTAATAGTTCTGACTTCAACTGTAAGTGCTGCATTACACTTACATTACAAACCAAAGGAGAGGACAAATTCTTCAGCAGGATAGCGCTCCTCATACTTCAGCCTCTACATCAGGGATCACCAAACTTGTTCCTGGAGGGCCGGTGTCCTGCAGATTTTAGCTCCAACCCTAATCAAACACACCTGACCTAGCTAATCAAGGTCTTACTAGGTATACTTGAAACAGCAAGGCAGGTGTGTTGAGGCAAGTTGGAGCTAAACCCTGCAGCGACAGGAGGTTGGTGACCCCTGCTCTACATCAAAGTTCCTGAAAGCAAAAAATTTCAAAGTGCTTCAGGATTGGCCAGCCCAGTCATCAGACATGAACATTATTGAGCATGTCTGAGGTAAGATGGAGGAGGCATTGAAGATGAATCCAAAGAATCTTGATGAACTTTGGGAGCTTTGTAAGATAGTGTACTAAAACTCAAATGTCACTTTTTAATTATCAAATGGGGGAAAATAATTTTTAAAAAATGTATTTAATTTATTTTGTTTTAAACTATGATACCCCATCCTCCAACCCCCCTGCATCGTTTTAAAAATTATTTGAAATGTAAAATGTAAAGTTGGCTGCACAATGGCACACATTCGCCTCGCAGCAAGAAGGCCGCTGGTTCAAGCCTCGGCTTGGGTAAGTTGGCGTTTCTTTGTGGAGTTTGCATGTTCTCCCCATGTTCGCATGGGTTTTCTTCAGGTGCTCCGGTTTCCTGCTTTATAGGTGAATTGGGTAAGCTAAATTGTCCCTAGTGTATGTGTGTGAATGAGTGTGTATGGATGCTTCCCAAGGATGTGTGTAAGGGCATCCGCTGCATAGTATATGTGCTGGATAAGTAGGCGGTTCATTCCGCTGTGGCGACCCCAGATTAATAAAAGAATAAGCCCAAAAGAAAATGAAAGAATGAAATACAAAGTTTCAAATGCGTTTTCTTTGGTTCGTTGCTTCGACTGACAAGGCTGTATCTGTCTGTCATCTACAGGTAGGAAACCATGATAAGCCGCGCATCGGTTCGAGTGCTGGTAAGGAATATGTGCGTGCTTTAAACATGCTGCTGCTGACACTGCCTGGAACTCCCACAACATACTATGGAGAAGAGATTGGCATGGTAGACGTCAACATATCTGTTATTCAGGATCCCGCTGGACAGTATGATCCAGTAAGTTAAAGTGTTTTGACTGCTTTTTTTTATTATTAATTATAGTTAAATTAGTTAACAAAGCCATATTACAAAAGTTGACATTTAAATAATAAAAAAAACTAACTCAATGGGGAAACAATATATATGTATAAGGAGATATTTATTATTTTTTAAATATACATACATGCAGTTGAAGTCAGAATTATTAGCCCCCCTGTTTAATTTTTCCCCAATTTCTGTTCAACGGAGAGAAGATTTCTTTAACACATTTCTGAACATAATAGTTCTAATAACTCATTTCTAATAACATATTTATTTTATCTTTGCCATGATGACAGTAAATAATATTTTACTAGATATTTTTCAAGACACTTCTATACAGCTTACAGTGACATTTAAAGGCTTAACTGGGTTAACTAGGCAGGTTAGCGTAATTAGGCAATTAATTGCATTACGATGGTTTGTTCTGTAGACTATTAAAAAAATAAAAATAAATAAAAAATGCTTAAAAGGGCAAATAATTTTGACCCTAAAATAGTGTTTAAAAATTAAAATCCGCATTTATTCTAGCTGAAATCAAACAAATAAGACTTTCTCCAGAAGAAAAAATATTATCAGACATACTATGAAAACTTCCTTCCTCAGTTAAACATCATTTAGGAAATATTTAGAAAAGAAAAAAAAATTCAATGGGGGCTAATAAATACAGTGGGTACAGAAAGTATTCAGACCCCCTTAAAATTTTCACTTTGTTATATTGCAGCCATTAGCTAAAACCCTTAAAGTTCATTTATTTTCATCATGAATGTACAAACACAGCACCTCATATTGACAAAAAAAATAAACACAACAAAGAATTGTTGACATTTTTTGATTTATTGAAAATGAAAAACTGAAATATCACATGGCCCTAAGTATTCAGACATTTTGCTCCGTTTTTAGTGCATGCACCCGTTTGATCTAATACAGCCATGAGCAGTTTTGAAAAACATGAAAGTTTTTCAAACCTGAATTTGGGGATCCTCTGCCATTCCTTCTTGCAGATCCTCTCCAGTTCTGTCAGGTTGGATGGTAAATGTTAGTGGACAGCCATTTTTAGGTCCAGAGATGCTTACTGGGTTTACATCAGGGCTCTGGCTGGGCCATACAATTTCATACCCATTGTATTTTTTTATTAGCCCTCCTGAATTATTAGTCCCCCTGTATATTATTCCTTCAATCTGTTTAATGTAAAGATGATTTTTTTTCAACACATTTCTAAACCTAATAGTTTTAATTCTAATAACTGATTTATTTTATCTTTGTCATGATGACTGTACTTAATATTTAATAGATATTTCTCAAGACTCTTGTAGTTGCCATTTTATACATTGTAGTTTGATTTAAAACAAAAAATTATTAGAAATAATACGTCTGATTTGTGATTTCTCTTCAGGATTCTGTTTTAATAGAGCATTCACATTATTTAAAACCGAAACTCAGTGTTTGCTACAAGTATTGACGCTACTAGCTTAACTACATTTCTCGCTAGCGTGGCGGTAGCGTCGCTACTTTCTAAATCAAATAGCTTTTTAGTAGCAAAGCTATTTTATTAGTCAAGTAGCACAGTAGCGTCCACCCAAGCTACATTTAACAATCGCGGATGAATAAGTGACGGCACCGACATTCACAGAGCTGTGAGTCCGTTGTCTAGGCAATGAAAGTAAATCCATATGATAGTGAGATCTGCAATTTCTTCTTCTTCCTGTTTTACAATGGTTGACAGGAACGTTTTGGTGTGTTACTGCCCCCTCTGGTCGGTGACGTCGCCAACCAAACTAGGCTAACACGAGAAACTTGCTTGATGGCATAGATATATACATTAGATGTCGCCTACCCTGTTATTGTCTATTGGAAGGAATGCATCAATAGAGCTGCCATTTTACTACAGGGTAGCGCTCCATTGAAATGAATGCGGAACCAAGGTATAGTGGAGGACTGTGGCCATCCAAAGCCAGAGATATACACATATATCTATGATCGGGAGTTTTCCTGGATGTTAGTATGCAATTTTTTTTTTATTAAAAAAATTATCATTTTACATCACTTTTCTACATTGATGGATCAGTGATCGCAGTGGCATTCCTGACAAAAAGCTTGTGCTTGTGTGTATGGAAATGTACTATCCACCCTCCCAGTTAAATTTAATCTAATCCGTTTCCTGAAACACACACCCTCTCCTGCTTTCACTTCTCATACTGATGGAGGGAGCGACTCGTATGTGAATGAATCTCCGTTATAAACGACTCGTTCACTAGCCGACAATAATACAAGTTTCTGGCAGTGCAGCATCTCGTTGTCATATTTATTTTGCATTGTTTGCTTATTTTATTCAACAAAACTAGCATAAGCCGAGTATTTAGTGCAAGTTGGAGCTACTTTGACTTACAGTAAATGCAGTAAGTGACTGCATTATCATCATTAACGCTACTGTTTAGCACAAAAGTTCAGTACAAAAACGTAAAAAACTTAATCTTGCCTATAAAATGTTCTGCCTTTGTGCTTAGTTTTCTTTGTTTGCTCGTTACTACACCAGTAGACAGCGCTAAAGTCCCGCATCTTCACGTAATAACACTGTCTTGTCTAGTGCGGATGAATGACATTTGTCCTGGGAGCACTGTACCAATGTGGCGGTGCTATTGACGCATGCTCAGGGTCCCTATGCGATATCTAGTGTATATATCTATGGTTTGATGGAAAGATGACTGAGGGAGAGGAGTTATTTCTGAAGCAGGATTTTTCGTGACCATACCTTGAGAAGAACATGTTAAGATGCAATAACCTCATTTCTGATGCTGTGCCCAAAAACAACTTTAGTAATTTTTAGTAAGTACTGCTATAAATTACTGCATTGTGTAGTGTAATTTATTAATGAAGAGTTGTAAATATATATACAATATGCATAATGCTTATGTCAAAATATTTATCTTAAAAAATGTAATAATTATTAAATAATAATTTAATTAAAATTTGATTACTACAGTATTTTAATTGTGAAACGCCTGCTTTTATTGGATTTTTTTTGTTTTTGCTGTTATATACTATAATTTGTTTCTGTTTAGTACAGCATATTATTTACAGTAAATAACTGAACTGAATTCTGCCTCATATGTTTCATTGACAGTTTTATTGATCAGTAAGATATGATTCACTTGGATTTAAGTTGCTACGATTAAAAAATAAAAATTGCAAAAATAGCTTAGATGTAGCTAAGCTAATTTTGCCAAGTAGCTTTTAGCTTGGCTTGCTACATTTCCCAGAGGGTAGCTTTTAGTGTAGTTAAGCTACATTTTTAGCAGAGCAGCTAATAGCTTAGCTCACTACATTTTTCAAGTAGCTTGCCCAACACTGCCGAAACCAATTTTAATCGCTTTTGGTTGATTTACTGCATTATCTTTGTCATTTCATTAATTAACATCCAGAGCAAGAGTCGAGACCCACAGCGAACACCAATGCAGTGGAATAATGAGCTCAATGCTGGTTTTAGCGAGAGTCTGAATGGCACATGGCTGGATATTGCTTCTGACTACAGAACGGTCAATGTGGAGGTAAAGCATAGTCATTCACACCACTATATCAACAACAACAACATGTTGGAGAATCATTTCATTCAGACGTTTCACCTCTTTAGGTTCAGCAGGACGATACAAGCTCCACCATTTCCCAGTATCGAGCTCTGAGTTTGCTCAGAAGTTCCAATGTGATTCTGTCTCGAGGTTGGTTCTGCTACGTCTGGAACGATGTCAATGTGTTCGCTTATTTGCGTGAGCTGGACGGTCTCAGTAAAGGCTTCCTGGTGGTTCTAAACTTCGGCAAGGAAACAACAACAGACCTGTCTTCAGTTAAAGAGTTACCAGATTCTCTCACACTCCATTTAAGTACAGAGTCAATAACCCAGACCGAGTTCCCTAAATCCAGAATCCCAACATCTCAAGGGCAGGGGTTGCTTCTGGAGTATTCCAGCAGTCAGAAGTTTCACCTCAACCATCAATCTCAGTGCTATGTGTCTGAGAAAGCCTGCTACCTGCCTACACTAGATATCCTTTACCAGTGTTGAGGATTCCCACATAGCAAAATTTCTCTGGCCCAGCTTTGGCCCACACACTCAGCTTTTACTTGGCCCACATGCCACAGTTAATTATGGTATATTATTGAACCAATTCTGGCTTCCATACAAGGGCCAACCATGGACCATATCTGGGCCAAGTTTCAGCCAAGTTACTAACCCATAACTGGGCCAGATATGTTGGTGTCATCACTGCAATGAATTCGATAAACCCATGAGGCATTTTGCGCTTTAAGGCCAAAGAGTTAAAGAGTTAACTCTTTGGTTAAAAAGTTAACACTTTTTCTCAAAGTGACCAGATTGGTAAATTTTTTTTTTAAAAACCCAAGCTCATTCTGAAAACGTAGTCCCGTGGACATTTCTGGAGACTGTGAAATATGTCCCAGCAAGTATGTATTTGTGCAGTTTTTGTTTTCACGAATCCGCGAAAGGCCGCTGTTTGCGCTTTTTCGTATGTCCCTCGCTAGTGCCATTCGCGCACGCGCTGTTCTCGTGTGAACCCACCAGAGGCCCCTGTCTGACTGACAGAATGACTGACTGCGCAACCGGCCAATCGGCTGACCCACCCTCCTCCTTCCCTAAACCCAACCAATTTTACCGATTGACCCACCCACCAGCTTACTTCCCTAAACCCGAGCAACAATTTAGAAAAGCTGTGTAGAAAAAGAAAAGCCCTCGTCTGATTTTTTTTACCACGTTTTTGGATTTCACCACGTTCTCACCCTGTTACGAACTTGTTCACTTTATTTTTTGGATTCTGTTTTTGTCTTACCTGATTTCTGGAATCGCTCTTCCCTGGACTTAAACCCGGTCACCATGGTCAACTCTTCCTCTTTGCACCTGAAGTCTGCCAACGTACACGATGAGCTGACTGGACAAACTGGTTGCGGCGGGAAAGCCCTCCACACGGAGGTAAGCGCTCAGCCCGTGAGAGCGAAAGGGAACAGCGTCACACCGCCTCATAGCGTTCGCTTAAAAAATAATTAAATGCGGCCATCCGTACCTCCTGGGACGTATTTAGGGGTCTTCACCAATGTCCACGGGACTACGTTTTCAGAATGAGCCTGGGTTGAAATCTTTCTTTACTTACAAATAATTTAAATGTATTTTAAAAGTGGATCAAGGTAGGCCAAACTTATGTGGCCCACATATATATATATATATATATATTTTTTTTTTTACATCTGGGCCAAATACTACATTTGATATCTGGCCCAAGTCTTGTGTGCCACCTTAAAGGTGGTGCCACCTCTGTGAAACCTGGGCCATGTGTGGCCAACATGCTGTATGCCAGTGCCAGACGAATGCCTGCAGTGCCAGCTTTATGCCAAATCTGGGCCAGAATTCTTTGCTACCTGGGTTATTTTTCCCAACCAGGCTGATTCAGTTCATCTATAAACATTTTCTCTTCTGGGTTTATCTTTCTATGCTATTCCTGTCCACATCAAAACCTCATTGGTAAAAATTGTGACTAAATGTTTCTTTTTTCTGAATAGCTTTGATAATGTCTCAATTTTGTTCAGTGTAATGTAATAAAATACATGTTTACTGATAAAGATTATCTATTCTCTTTTCTTGTGTCATATCATTTGTATTCCGTGTAAAAAACTTTGTGTTCAAAAATATTTGCAATAGAGTATAAGCAGAAGCAGGGCTTGACATTAACCTTTTTGATCACCAGCCAATGTGGCTAGTAGTTTTCCAACATTACTAGCCACTTGCCATTTTTACAAGCCACAATTTTATTGTTGGGAATATAAATATGACTCTAACATTCTTAAATTATTTGATTTAGAGTTTGCGTTATCTCCACATGCCTCCTCATTCATTTCACTTTTTGTGTGTCGTGTTTCATAGTATTACAATTTTCAGAGCCCAAAATGAAGGATTTACCCAATTTATCTCTGACTGACCACACCATGCATAAACAGTTAATTATTTCTTAGCCACAAATTTTAAATGTGTCAAAACAAGCAAAATATAGCTCAATACTATACTTTATAATTTAACAAAACATATGCACAGTAATCAGTCCTGGCTAAAGGTCCAAGATCACCAGTTAACTACACATAAATGGGGAGTTAATCTCTAATTAAAGCAATGTTATTGTAAAAACATTATAATTAACCATATTAACGAAAAAGAAAGCAGGTAAAACATACTGTGTGATGATGATCACATACACGGTTAATGTTAGACCCATAAATAATCTGTTCAGAGATGGTTAAAGCGAAAGCAACTGGTGCTGCTTACAATGTCAACTCAGGTAATCTTGAAAGCAGCAAGACTGTGGGTGCATGCTCATCCCTTTTTGTCTAGTCTGTTTGAATGAGAACCGATCACATCAGTTGTTTCTAGACACAGTTGCTTCACAAAAGGAAACGGGAGCGTGCACGCGTTATAAACAGTCGCGCGCAATGTGCATCACCTTAGCTGTGAGCGCGAGTGATTATCCTCTTTTTCCGTATTCACCTGCTAAGTTGCGAGCGCAATTATTTTTGTCAGTCATGTTGCTTTTCAATTCGAAGACTGCCTGTGCATACTTTTTGAACCATCCTTATTGTCGAACACTGCTTTTAAGAATTATTATCTGGCAAAATTATTTTCAACCAGCCAAAGTGGCTAGTTGGAGTGCCTGTCTTACCTGCCACCGCCAAAATCGACCTGCATTTGGCAGGTGTTAATGTAAAGCCCTGTGCAGAAGTATGCAGAAAGACTTTTAATTTGTCATTAACCTGGGTCAAGCGCTTCTGGTGAACTGTATGCAGTTACAAAACCAGCGCGTTTAAGCTCTGTTTTTAAAAAAAAAATCAACGATCTCCATTGCCTGATCTATATATGATATAGAGTTGGTCTCAGAATGTACAAGAAGCACTGCATTAAATGACATTTTTACATTATATTACTTATTTATTTTACTCCAGTATTTTCAATTGAGTTTCTGCGCTAGCCTGCTACTTCTAACAGGCACGTAAGAGTAAAAGGCTTTTCATCTCGTTTAACGCTTAAACAATTAAATGAATGATAACAGCCATTTTGCTGTAAAAGGACCGTATAAAACTGAAAAAAAGTCGCATTAACCATTCACCGGAAGTTTATCCGTATGGGAAAAAACACTAGCTGTGCACACTTGTTTTTCCTCAAATGACCAGATATATCAGGCTTTTCCCCCTCACACAATTGAGTCTAGCAATATTTGGTATACTCGCTGGTCAGCTTATTGGACTTTTATTTTCTTCTCCGTCGAGTTCTTTGCTGGTCCAGTGACAGCCCAAGTTCTGTGTAAAGGAAGGCTAACTGTCGGGCACTCTGGAAGAGAAAACAAAAAAAAAAACTGCACGTTATTAAAATATGAAATCACTTCTAATATACACATTCATTCATTCATTCATTCTTATTTGGCATAGTCACTTTATTCATAAGGGGTCATGCCACAGCGGAATAAACTGCCAACTACTCCTGCATATGTTTTATGCAGCGGATGCCCTTTCATTTGCAACCCGGTACTGAGAAACATCCACCCACACTCATTCATTCATTCATACACATCGCATGTCTTCGGACTGTGGGGGAAACCCACGCCAACATGGGAAAAACATGCAAACTCTACACAGAAATGACAACTGACCCAGCCGGGACTCGAACCTTCTTGCTGTGAGGCAACAGTGCTAACCACTGAGCCACCATGAGCCACCACACTCACAATATAGCGATTTTTACAATTTAGATTGTGTCAGCCTATTCACATAGAAGGTCTAGTAAAGTCCAGTTTTAAAGTTCAGTTTAGTTTAGTTCAGTTCAGTATGGTTTAAATTTCACTGCTGAAAATTCGAACACTGAAGAGCAAATCCGCCAAAGCACAGCTCCACAAGTCCTGATCCAACCAAGCCAGTGGTGACAGTGACGAGGAAAAAAAACTTCACCACTTGACAAAGTGAAGGGAAAAACCTCAAGAGACACCAGGGGCCTCATGTATCAACGTTGCGTACGCACAAAAACTTTGCGTACGCCAGGTTTCACGCTCAGAATCGCTCACGTTTGGATTTACTAACAATGAACTAAACGTGGGAATGTGCGCAGCTTCACGGCAGCTTTTTGGCAGGCGTACGCACATTTTTTGTGCGTGTCTGTTTTATTTCCATTGGCGACTCCTAGAGGCGGTTGTGTTAAATTCCTCTCTACAAAGTGTCTGAGCATTGCAATGGCAGCTGTATGAGACGGGTTCATCTAGCAGGTAAATAAGGTTTCCATACCATACAGTTGAGCAGCTAAACATTAAAGCACAATTTGCAGCAGTCGCCTGTTTTCCCAATGTAACCTGAGAGATCTACCGCACGCACATTGCTATAAAGACACTATCTGAAGATGAATTTGCATGCGTGAATCAGAAACATTTCCATTCAATAAATGTGCAAATAAAATATGATGCACAAACTTATTGATGATTCCTACTTGTCTTTCTTGTGATAAATAGTTGGCAAAATCTGATATGTAGCGGGGAAAAAAAAGAAGAAAGAGTTCATCAGACGCTGGATTCGAGCCGAGTTCATGCTCGAACGTGTCAAAACATGTTAACATGCGTCTTACGAACGCGCCACTGAGACTGTTAATAGTGCTGCAACATTTTACAGATATAAACCAGACTATTTATTTTTTTAATGCACTCAGTGCAATGTTCAGACCCAACTGTGTTAACCGCATCAGCTAAACTCTCCCACTCTATTTTTTTTCTTTTGTTGTTAATTCCGGAGGAAAAACTTGCAAATAACACCGCTTTTCTCCGGTCTACCTCCGAAAGGAGCACCTCCAATTCACATTCTGTTCAAAGTTTCTCTTTTTGCTTGATTTTGCCGTTGCTTTTTCGTTGGGTTTTGCCATTAGCATAGTCATTAGCATATTCATACGGGGAGGAGGCAGGGAGGGGTTTTGCGCTCGTGCATGTTGCGCTCAGTTTCACGTTCATTCGGATGTACAAAAGAATATGCGTGAGATTCGGCGTACGCAGTGTTTCATACATCTGAATTTTTTTCTGCGTACACACATTTACAGCTTTGTGCGTACGCAATGTTTTAGTAAGATTTCCACGCAAGTCTTCGTACATGAGGCCCCAGGCTCTGTTGGACCCGACCATTCTTCGTCCGGCCAAACTTTCAGTGTGGAGCTGCAGTCTAGGGGCTGGAGAAGCTGGACGTCCATCGTGGAGAAGCTTCAGGTGTGAGTAGGGCTCCGGCGGGAGGTCAAGCTGGCCCACAGGATCAATGCAGGGACTCGTTTATCACGGTGGTTTAGGAATCATGCACTTCATTCCTTCATGACGACAATAGCATCAGCTCTAAAGTGCTTTGTTTTATTTTTAGAGTGATTCCGTCATCATTAACTCACCTTTTTACTTTCTTATTTGACTTTTTTTTTTTAATGTTGGAAACGGGAACCTTGGACTCTTGTCATATTAAAGTTTTAACATTTATATTTTTTTTATTTAAGTAAATACATTTATACAGCTAAACTAGTTTGAATTATATTATCTTTACATCAGAAAAAAAGTAGTAAACTTTTATGCAAGGTATTTCTAATTCCATGTCTATAGGTGGGACAATAAATTTGACATTGTTTACTCTTCCAGCA